TCATTTTTCCTTTACTTACTTGCCCTGAGTTCGGGGTTCTCCACCCTGCCTGAGTTGATGATGTTACTAAATGCTAATACAGGATGAAGATGCAGCCAGATTAGGAAAACAGTACAGAATATTTTAGTTTAAAATAAACTTTAATTGTTACATTTATCCATGTATTTTAGTGATTTAGTAAAGGAAACAGTTATTGTTATTTTTTTTAAATATATAATTTTAGTTCACTTTAGACTAACAAAGTGGTTCTCTTTGCATTTGCTTCTCAGCCTGGTCTAACTTTCCATCACCAAAACACTGTATTATTTTATGCAGCACCAACCACAAAGGAAGATAAGATTCCTACTCCAAGAAGCTTAATTACAGAAGCAACGCTAACAGTGCTCTATTAAGTCATGCTAATGTTCTACAATTTGTATTTAGATTATGTACCTTGTTTCCATTCTGAGGAAATTTGTTTTAATAAAGTCACAGCAGCATAAGGCACTACATCTTTATTTTCAAAGTGGATATGGAGCTGGACACTATTTCAAGCCATCTGATGTTTCTTCCTAAGCCTCCTTGATCTGCTATCTGCTTGTATTCTTAGGATAAAAATTAGCAAACCAAAAGAAATGAGAACGAGAATAAATATCAGCCATTCCAATTGTTTATTTCATTAAATGAAGAGTCTAGCTCAGAATAGTTTCTCTTTTTAAGAATAGGTCAAATGCACTTACGATTTTGAATTTATTTTCAGAGACTATCATCAAACATACGCCAGAACTAATCTGTAACAAATATTTTAATTTTGTATGAAGATCAAAAAATAAACCCACAATATAATGTAATTAAAAAAAGGAATTAAATTAAGCTCAGAAGTGCTTAATAGTGGATTTCTACAGATGTAAACAATCAAATAGTATTCATTAACAATATGGTAAGGGACAGTCATATTTGCCACTGCCACATCTAAAACAATTGGTTATTCACTTAGCTGACTGAATACTAATATTTTTTTCAAAATAAAGAATAATTTCTAAAGCATTCATTGGAAAAATTCAGTTGTTTAGCAGAAGACCACTCTAGCTTTTACATTATTTTTCTGATAGAAAAAAATAGAGCTCAAAAAAGGAAAAAGCATTTGTTATTTAAAAAGTAGACGTCTACATTTAAGTTCTGAAATGGCTGCCTGTTCTACATGCTTCTGGGAAAGTTTACATATGTCTATGGTTTTCTTTGGCACGGTTGTAAAACACACAACCGTAATCCAGTTCCTGTAATAGGGGCTTGTTTACAGCGGTTCTTTCTTCCTCCAACACACTCAGTAATTCAACTGCTTTTCAGACTTTAGTGCTCTTTCATAAAATAATATCAAAGTAAAATAGATGTATTTCAATATCTGACAGAATAAATGCATCTGTAGTCAATCCTCTGTACATAAGCTAAAGCATAAACACATCAGTTTTGGCGCACATGCAATTTAGGATTAAGTACAGTCTTTGGCACATAATGACAGTTCAGGTTTGGGTAGAGAATTGTGTAGTTCTTGGAAGACACCTAGTGTGCAGTTCCATCCAGAAAATACCCATTTTTTCTCCTTCGTTGTGTTTAATACCACAAGCACCAGGAATAAACCCCATTTCTTCTCTACAGAGATGAGAAATGGCAACAGCCAGCCACAGGGGGCAAGGTAAACCCTCTTCTCTCATTACATTTTTGCAACGATGACTTTGCCTTTGCTTTTTTCTATCCTCAGAATGTGTGGGTTTTGTTGTTTTTGTTTTGTATTTTCCCCCAAAAGGTAATGACAACTTATTTATATTCAAATAAAAATTTGAATATATATACAGACAAAGTCAAGCTGACGGTCAACAGACATATTTAGGCAGCCTCTGCTTGCAATGCAGGATTTATCCAAATCTTCTGTCTGAAAGGTATGAAACATGGGGGGTGGGGGGGGAATTCACAATCTCCCAGTTACAGTGATAGGAAATGCAGTATGTTAGAATTTGAAGGAGCATAGAGGTAATCACCACCAACATATCCTCAAGAAACAGTAAATCTGCCTCAAAATACATGTTAACTACTTATGCTAAACAATCGGTTTCACCTCGTACTTAGCTTTGACACTCTGAGTACGTTTCCAAGACCCGAAGAAGAGCTCTGTGTAAGCTTGAAGCTTGTCTCTCTCACTAACATAAGTTGGTGCAATAAATGATATTTTCTCACCCAGCTTGTCTCCCAGTAAGAGGCTGACTCACCCACTTCACAAATCTCTAACATGGAGAAGGGACTCAGAGAGAACTATGGGGAGTAGGAGGAAAAATCAGTATCTCTCCCCACCCAATCTTTGACCAGGTTGAGAACCAGTGGAGATTGCAAATACTTTTATTTACACAAATATAAAACAAAACTTTGAACTAATCCAGAACTTCTGAGGTATGCATATTATTATCCTATATAAATACATGTTCTCATTACTTTTATCCTGGCCATACTCACTGCATGTGTTTTAGGCCCCGAACAAACCTTGGGGTACAGGCTGACCCCTGTACCCCAAGCAAAGCCTCAGTGACCTCAATGGGGCACTATGTGGGGGTAGGAGTCCACCCAAGCAGATCAACTTTCAGGATTAGGACCCTAAAAGCAGTAAGCTCCTTTGAGGCAGGTACTGTGCCATTTTATGTGTTTGCAGAGTGCCCTGCACAATGGGGCCCTAAACCTGACTAGAACCTTAGGGCACTGCCACCACAACATACATAAAGAATAATGGTCTTCCAGAGACAGAGAGACAGCACAAGGGGAGATGGAGGAGGAGATATCATTATCAACACCCTACCCCCATCTGCCACTGAGTGGAGACTGAGAGACTCGTGCCCAGGAAGAGAAGTGAGTAGTCATCATCATCATCATCAACCCACCCACACATCCTCCCCCAAAACAGACCCTGTCCCCGTGAGAGAGGAGAGGACCTGCCTCCCTCACACACACACAAGAAACAGAACTGGGGAAAGGAGAGAGGTTATTTCCCTGCCTTCAGATTTCAAGCACAATCACTATCTGTGGTCCTGAGCGCAGGTTTTTACTACCCTGGTCTGATATTAGGCTAAAGTAGCAGCCAGTTGACAGAAGCCCAGGGGGGTGGAGATGTCACCACCAGCTCCGATACAGAGCCCAGGAGGCACCAGCCAGCCCCCGAGCCCACTGGCAGCCCAGCGGCGGGGCACAGGGCATGGCGGCGCTGCGGCACTAAGAGCGCGCAGCCTAGCAGCGAACTTACCCCGACCGGCTTACGCCGTCACCTCCTCTTCCTCCTCCTCCTCTCCGGCCCCAACTCAACGCGGCGCCCGGGTCCTGCTCATCCCGCGGCCGGGGGCCGCCTCCCTGCCCCCGCCCGCGGCGGCTCCGCCTCCCGCTGTCACCGCCGAGGTCCTGGCAAGAGACAAGCGCCCAACTCCGGGCAAGGACTTCGCCGCACGCCCCACCTGGGCGGGCCGCCTCCTCCTGCGGGCAGCGCCGCGGCCCGAGTGACGGCGCGGCTCAGCCACTCAGCCGCCAGCCCGGGGCCGGAGGAAGCTCCGCAGCCAATGGGAGCGGGGCCAGGGCGGGACCCGGCTGAGGAGGCGACATCGGCCCGGCGCTGGGGTGTCCCCGCCGCTCGCCTGATTCCAGCCGCACACGCGCCCCGCGGGGCGGGCTGGGGCAGCAGCGGGGAGAGGTTAACAGGGAAAGGGCAGGTGGGTGTGGAGCCTGGGGGTAGGCGGTGGGGTGCCGGGGAAGCGAGTGGGGGAGTGATGGGAAGGGGGTTTGAGGCGGGTCTGGCAATAACTGGATTTAGGGAATGGGCGATATTAGATTTGAGATGAAATGAGCGAGGGAGGAGCCCGGAGGAGACCAGGGCGAAGCAGTAGGAGGATGAGCGCTGGATACATAAAAAGGAGGGATTTTTTTCCGCTTTGCAGGCACCCCATTCTACGTTACCAACTGTGGCTAGCTAGAGGCCGCACTGGAAACAAAAATTAGCTTTTTTCAGTTCACAGGTTGCTCCTGTGTGCTGGGTTACACGCAAAGCGAAGCCACAGTTGCAACCACTAGTGGGGATGAGGGTAAATAACCCTTGTCTGTGTGTATATAAATCTCCTCACTGTATTTTCCACTTTATGCATCCGATGAAGTGAGCTGTAGTTCATGAAAGCTTATGCTCAAATAAATTGGTTAGTCTCTAAGGTACCACAAATACTCCTTTTTGTGAATACAGACTAACAGGGCTGCTACTCTGAACCCCTTCCCTTTTTGTAGCCTGGTTACTGTCATGTTCACGTTCCCCTCAGTGCAGCTTCAGATCGTGCATTTTCACTGCTGGTCCCCCTTTGCCTCCAGCTTCCCTTCCCCAGTCACTGGCACCGGAGTCATTGCAACCCCACTCACCAGCCTGCTGCCGCTGTCCGCCCTGTGCTGGGCACCAGGGTGATCAGTGGGTAACCTCTGTAGCATCACCATTATGCAAAACTTGGGGGTGGGGCGAGGGAGAGACGCCCTTTGGGATGGAGGCTTTGGGGAAATTGTTGGGGTTTCTCTCTGGGGCGGCGGAAAGGAGGCGTCACGTACCCAGCAAAGCCCTCTGCGCCCATGTTGAGAGAGGAAGAGCCTGAGCACAGAGCAAACCCCGCCTGCCCCCCATCTCCAGAGGGGAATTAACACACCGAGGGAGAGGGAAGAGCCTATGGGCAGCGGGTGTTGCGGGGGCCTCCTCCCCAGTGCGGCGAATCGGGGTCGATAAGGCCATGGGCGTTGGGGGCCTAGCCGCCACCTCCAGCACATGGGGCAGCAGCGGGGCCCAGACCCGGTGGAGGGTGGGCGGGATCCGAGTCCCCCTCGGTCTCTGCCCACCCCGGGCCTTGCCACAGCGTGGGGCGCTAAGAGGCACCCAGGGTAGGCGGCGCTCGCTTCCCCCCTGCCCCCGCTCCCAGCTGCGGCTCGCCCCGCCCCCGGCCCCGCCCTTCACGGGGTCCTCGCTCCCGCGGCTCCGCCCCTTCGCTCCTCCCTGTCCCCAGCCGCGAGCAGCGGATGGGCCCGGCCTACGTCTGTACCTGAGCCGCCGCCGCCGCGGTGTTTCTGGCCTAGCGGGGGCCGCGCCGCATCGCCCTGCCGCCATGGAAGAGGACATGGAGCTGGAGAGGTGAGAGGGGCCCTCCGGGGTGTGTGTTCCCGGGCGCTGGGGCGGGGTGGGCCCGCTGTGATCTACCGCGCCGGCCTGGCGCACGCATTTGTTCCCTGTCCTGGTAGGCCCCCTTCAGCCCTGGGGGATGGAGCAGAGGGGTGTGGGGGCGGGGGAAGCGCAGGGATGAAGAAATGAAGAGTGGGAGCGGGGTTACCTGGGTAGTTCCCTCTTGAGTTTTAAAAGTTCAGTTCTAGACCCGCCCCTTGACATCCTCCTGGTGGGAAGGGGTCATGGGTAGGGTTCGTGGCCACTCCTGTGCCAGACCTTTGGGGGAGGCGGCCCCACGACGGGCTGGTGCTGGACCCAGTAAAATGCACATTCGTCATGTCCCCTCCCTCCTCAGTCTGGAAGTGCCTAGCTAATCTTTCTGCTGTCAGGTAACAGCAGCTGATTGAGAGCCCACCTACTCGCTGTGGTGTGGGGCTTGAGAAAGTAAATAACCTGCATTTGTAGTTCAGAGGGGCCATTAGAGAGCCTTGAAGAGAGAAGCTGGAGCACTTTTGTTTAGGTTTCAGAGTAGCAGCCATGTTAGTCTGTATTCACAAAAAGAAAAGGAGTACTTTTGGCACCTTAGAGACTAACCAATTTATTTGAGCATGAGCTTTCGTGAGCTACAGCTCACTTCATCGGATGCATACAGTGGAAACTGCAGAAGACATTATATACACACAGAGACCATGAATGGATGGGCTATTACCAGCAGGAGAGTGAGTTTCTGTGGGGGCGGAGGGTGAGAAAACCTGGATTTGTGCTGGAAATGGCCCAACTTGATGATCACTTTAGATAAGCTATTACCAGCAGGACAGTGGGGTGGGAGAAGGTATTGTTTCATGGTCTCTGTGTGTATATAATGTCTTCTGCAGTTTCCACGGCATGCATCCGATGAAGTGAGCTGTAGCTCACGAAAGCTCATGCTCAAATAAATTCCTTAGTCTCTAAGGTGCCACAAGTACTCCTTTTCTTTTTGCGAATACAGACTAACACGGCTGTTACTCTGAAACCTGTCTTTATACACACAAAGCATGAAAAAATGGGTGTTTACCACTACAAAAGGTTTTCTCCCCCACCCCACTCTCCTGCTGGTAATAGCTTATCTAAAGTGATCACTCTCCTTACAATGTGTATGATAAACACCCATTTTTTCATGCTTTGTGTGTATAAAAAGATCTTCTATACTTTCCACATATGCATCTGATGAAGTGAGCTGTAGCTCACGAAAGCTTATGCTCAAATAAATTGGTTAGTCTCTAAGGTGCCACAAGTGCTCCTTTTCTTTTCACTTTTGTTTACTGTCTCTTGTTCACTGGTGCTGATTAAAGTATTGAAATTTCCTATTTTCCACTTTGTTGTGAAGAGACCCTACAGCGTTCTATGCCATATAATAAAAATTGAATCTTTTTTTTTAAAGGGGGTTGCATTAATGTGGATGCTTACAGTTTCATTTACCTAAACATCAAGCCTGCATGGCCTGGAATATTTGGGAGGACAGGGGTCCCAGTTTACAGAACACAAACGTACTTGCAAGAGACCTTTGACTTTAGTTTGAGAAGTAGAATTGTTTTCCTATTCTTACAACATCAAGTATATTTTACTTTTACCTGTCTTAGACTATATAAGTGGCTTCCACATTGATGTTGAAGCATATACAGTATACTACCAAAAAACATTTAAGATGTACTTCGCAGTACATGGAAAGAGGTACGATAGTATTCCAGGATTTCTGAGGCTGCCATTCTTTATGGGAGCCCTTTATCTCCCTATTGCAATATCATTCCTCTGTCCCTGTTGTGAGGCAGTAATCTGATTCCAAGTGGATGCATTCAGGAGAGTAGTTTATCACACAGGGAACTCAGGTTATTTGTGAGAAAAAAACAGGGGCATTGATGATACTGCTGACTTTCTGTTGAATTCTGAAATCCTCTGTTGGGTTGGCGCAGGTTACCTCATTGTCTTACTCTATCCCATGGCCTGGTTATGATCTACTGGAAAATGTAACTACCAATCTTAAAAGTGAGACTAGTGTGCTCAGAAGACTTTTTGGGCATGTGGCCCACAATTGTGGAATTTGCTTCTGGGAAGACTATGAGCCTCAGTGTCTTCATAATAAAATGTAAACTCAACTTTTTCAAACTCCTTACTTAAGGAAAAGCATACTTGTATAAAATAAATAAATGAAACCTCCCTATTAAATGAAGAAAGATGGGAGATTTTCCATGATCACTTTAATAAACTTGTGTTGCATGCCAGTACCAGTTATGACTGCAACTAGATCACAGTGGAAGTTGGAAAATTAATAAGCCTTGTTTTGTTAATTGAAATGAGAAAAGCCTAATCTCTGACTTTGTATTTATTATAGTCAAATTGTGACTACATTGACTGGAATAACTTTCAGGGAGAATAAAATGACTGATGCTTTACATTCTGTTTGGATGAGATCATTCATTCTGCTATGCAAATTGACTTAAGTCATATCCAGACGAACACATTCAGTTTAAATGCAGGTTCATTTAGTTGACTGCAGTCATATCAGACCTCTGTTTTACTTTCTGGTTTGGAAATGGACCAGAAACACCTACGTTACTGGTAAATCTTGTTGGTGTTATGCTACTTATTGTAGAATTGCCTGGGAAGAATGACTGAAATAATAGTTCTGCAGCATGACTTGTCAACACTACAACTAAACCATGTATAAACAGAATCTCATGTGAGATTACCTGTTAGCTGTATGTCTAACGATGATAGCATGGGTAGTGGCAAGGCAAGCTTCCCCCACTGCTCGTCCAGTGTGTCTCACAGCCAACTATAAGGAACTAACTTGATGGCTCCATTTACAAAAAATAACTTGTTGCCCTCACTGTCTGCCTCCAACTGATATAGTAGATGGGACAAAGATAATAGTTGTGCTGGTGGAAGTGAGGGGATAATCGGGCCTAAGAAAATTTAATGATCCATTTGCCTCTATAATTTTTCAGTAAGGCACCTTTCCCCTATGATCTTAAAAAACTACTACATCCGCACTGGTCTGACATATCAAACTAAATAAGAATATATCATGGTGAGGGGTGGTATTGGCAAAAGTTTGTGAAGGCCGCATTACTTGCTGTAGCAAATCTAAACTATACCATCATGACTTCTACATCTGCCACGCATGTTACAGAAAAGCTATTTTAGGGATGTTTTTAAAGAGTTTTAAAAATATTTATTTGAGCTATTTTTAGGTGCCTTAGCTACCATGAGTCCAAGTGCTCAAGGAAACATACAGGTTTATAATAATGACTTAAAATAGTGTTTTAAGTGTCTACAAGCATTATACATTTAAAGTCTGTTATGGACACCTTCTGGGTCTAGAGCACCTGCTGAGTCCCACTAGGAAGCCAGAAGTTTCCAGACAAGGGGAAAAAATTCTAATTATTTGTCCACATGCAGGTAAGACTACAGTCTGGTGGTCTGACAAGAAAACTTGGTTGTCCCAAGTTTCTGATAGTGACTTCATTCTCTCAGGCAAATTAAATTGAAAGATAGTTGCTGCTTTGATGGTCTAAAGCAGTAATACTCAGACTGAGGCTTGCGAGCTGCAGGTGGCTCTTTAGTGTGTCTCCCTCGGCTCTTTGCAGCTCATGATATTAAAACAATGTGTGATTTACTTATTAACCAATCAGGATGCTTTTACTATGTTACTAACCAATTGTAGTTGATAAAATAATAACACTTGGTTAGTCATTTTGCTGTGACTATATCCATCTATCTTCCCCCATCATTATAGATATATATTCTCCCATCATTTATTTATATATTTTTATATATTCCTCCATCATACTATTTAAATATGAATCGTAGTACTATAATGAAACAATGAATTCACACTACTGTGGCTCTTTTGGGTAATGTTGATTGCTAATATGGCGCCTGATCCACTGAGTTCTGATATCACTGGTTTAAAGACAGTGCTCTACATTCTGTTCGTTCTGTTTTGGATTATTGTGCCAGGTTTTCTCACTTTTATTCTCCTTTTTTACTGTCACTAACTCACTTGGTCTTATGTTCTGTATTTTTCTTGCTTTAATATAAATTAAAATGTTACTGTCACCAGGAATGATGGATGCTGAATTGGCTACCTCTTGTTATGTGACCCTTACACAGTCTGATATTTAAAGCAATAAAAAAGCAGTGACTACAAATACCTGCAGGTTGTAAATAAAGCTACGTTTCTCATTCACCTTTGCCACTATCTATGGCAAGTATGCCATAGAGCTATGCATGCTCCCCCCACTTCCCCTCCCCCCCAATAATTTCAACTCCTTTCTGATGGAAATTAGAGGCTGGCAATTTCCTCTGAACATCCTATTATTAATTGGAGAATATCCACAATATAAATCTGAAACATTTCATAGCCTTATTAAGATACTAGGCCAAATTCCAATTAAATGTAATTGATGCTGTGAGTATAACTTACACTTCAAGGGATAGGTATGTAGGGTTATAAAAAAAACTAACAGAAGAGTGTCAAAGTGTCTGACAGGGCTGGATTATTTTTCACCTCCACTGTTCTTACTTTTTCTTCCCTGTTCTACACCTTTGGCATGTTAATTGTTCACAACACCATTTATGTCCCTGCTCTGAAGATTTTGCATTCTAAACAATCAAATCTCCTACAGATAAGATACCCTACCTTGGGCCCTAGAACAACACAGCAAATATGCAGTCTTATGGGAATATATTAGAGGTTGTTGGAGAAAGCGTTGGATATACTTTTCCTCACTCATAATTTCTTCCACAGTTGCCAAAACATTTCACAACTCCTGAATAGCATGTCCTACTAGAACTGCCTTCCAAACCTAGTTTGCAGTGTCATCTATTTGAAATTGTTTGTTGTCGTAGGTGATAAGGCCCTTAGCATCTGGAATAAACTCCTTATAGTATTGTAAAACAATGGGATGTAATACTAAAAACAGTTTTAC